GAAATATCGCCCTGGGGAAGCGCCGCAAAATGCCATTTTCTCTATGAATTCAGGCCAGACACTATGCCGCAGTCGAGCGGCGCGTGTTAAGGCGCTCAAGTTCCGATTGTCCGACTCGTATGTTCCGCATGACGTGGATGTGATCGCAGGTCGAGAATGAAAGCTTCGCTGCAGCACCCGTTCAAAACCGTTCCTTAAATAATATTCTCGAGTAATACTTTCACGATTAATACACTTTGCAGTCGTTTTCAAAGCACGAGGACAATTCCATAAAAAGTTATATTCTCACAGAGTCGCAAAAGACGGTCGAATTGTCACCTAATTTTATTAATATATAATATGCACATATATAGTTTTTTTTTAAGGAATTCATTTTTTTCTTATTTTCCTTTTCTCATGTTACTTTGTTTATTATTATCTTATATATTAAAGGAATATCCCTTCCGTTTATAAATAATCTGTTTGTAAATAAATAAATAAGTAAATGAATGAATAATAAAATAATGGTCATCTCATGAGTAACGCAGTTTCCTTTTATTAGTCAAAATAAATGATGCAATGTTTTACAGTTATTGCGTAATCACACAATGTGTATGTATTATTAGAATTTGTAAAATGTTTTAAGTAATTTTATGTCGATTAAATGTTTATTACGTAAATTTAAGAGTGAGAAAATAAACGTTATCATAGAAGTGTCGAAAGAGGACTTAAGAGTCTCGAAAACGGAGCGCCCGAGATCATCTAACTCGTGGAACTATAGCTAGCGTCTTGCACGAATTCTGATCGAAAAAGCGCTCTCCTTAGGTTATTTAACGATCAGCCAATATTTCGATGCGTCAATATTTCAATTGGCCTATGTCCCCTCATGAGAGGAGTTTGTTTCCTCTCCACTCCTGAAAACGACTGTCGATACTAAGATGCGGGCAGACGAAGTGCAGGTTTGAAAACAGTTTTCGATTGTTCCTATCGGAAATAATTGCTATCGAGAATCACTTTCAAGAGAGTAACTTTCGAACGAACTCTCGGTCTTAGATACGTACGTTGATACCAGTCGGCTTAATCACTCCGACTTTTGTAGAATTCCAAACGAGATTAGCGCTGCACACCTGAAAGAAAGAAAAGGAAAACGGAACAACCGAAAGTCATTCATCGCAAATTGATAGAACGATCGTAAAAAATTATTCGCAAATTGATAGAACGATCGTAAAAAATTAGAGCGACCTGCACATGTTTCTTTGAAATACGCCTGCGCATCGATCGGCAGTTAATATTGAAAAATGGTAAATAACTGAGGACAACATACACACACACACAGACGCCACAGTTCTCGTGAGCGTGAGAGTTCGTCGATTTTTATTTCCCCTTGCACATCCACAACGTAGGAAGACTATTCTTCTTGATACGCGCGAACTAACCGCCACTAAAGCACGTTGCAGCAGCCGCCGGGGTTCTCTCCTTCGTTTTGGTCTGCATCGCACATTGCTCAATCAACATTGCGGCGGCCGCAATGTTTAGTAAACGATGATGGATAAATATTGCGACTGGCACGGCGCACGCGAAGGGCTGACCGTGTGCTGCGCCGGGAAACCACATCGCGCTTTCCTTCCCTACGTGTATATGTATGTGTGTACATATTCATTCCTTAGCTCGTGAGTAGGCGCGTAAATTGAACGAATGTTATTGAACGCATTCCCGCCATTTTTGATAGAAAGTATCAACACGTACATGTATATTACAAGGAATCAGCAATTGAACCTAGGAAACGTCCTAAAGTAAATATGCAGTCAAGGTCATATCTCACCGTTTTCTTTTTTATTTTGAGATATATTATATATAATAGATATATAATATTATAGAGGGTGAAATTCTGAGTAACTTTATATGATACCAACTGTATGAGGGTCGCTTGTAGTTTCTGAGATATTTGAATTTTAAATATTGGAATTATCTGAAAAGTTGTTTGTTTTCATAATTGTAAGACATATATTGTTATTCTGAATTAGGTTAAGTTAGATTGTTTATTTATTTAATCAATTTAAAGTTTCGAAATATAAGTTACCGATATTTTATATAATGAACTCAATATAAATGATTTATACAATACAAAAGAATTACACGCAATCAGTCACCGCGCATATATATGCACACAATAATCTAACCTAACTCAGAATAATTAAATGTTGTATGATTATAAGATTAAACAGCTTCTGAAAATATATAATTGCAACATTTTAAAGTCAAATATTGAATTATATTAAATTAAAAATTAAATTAAAGTTTAAAACAAATGACCTCTATATTATACAGGGTGTTTTAAAAAAAGGATTCAGAATTATAAGGATAGATAATATTCACAAACTGGGGAGGAAAAAAGTTCTAATGAACATGCTCTGATGTTTTTATATTCTCTGATATAATTTGTTTATTTCATCTATCAGTGAAGAGAGTACTCTCTCTCTCTCTCTCTCTCTCTCTGCTTTAAAAGAATTCCTAAAAGTTTCTTCGCTTTTGTTCGGGATGTAAACAAACATATATTTTCTTTCCATTTATACACACGCTTCACCAAGTAATTGTTAATCATATATCCTCGTGAACAATGAACAGTTGCAGAGTTTTTAAACCATCACAAAATTTTTACAGTAAGAATGACATTAGTCTAATTAAAAATGGCAGAAATGCATTTCATGTATGGCCGTGCATTAGAAGCGAGTAAATCACTTGCTTTAATTCAAATAAATTGTTCATAACTCCGACAATACGCATTAATTTTACGACTCATGTTTATTAAGAATTTTTTCCTCCATTGTGGTTACTTTTTTATGATTACTATCTGGCTTTAAAATCCTGAATTCTTTTTTTATACATCCTGTATTTATACAGTTGTGAAGAAGAATGATCCTTGTGGGTATTATGGCCGCTTTCAACATCTCCGTTATTAGGTAGCGGACTTCAGTTGTTACAGTGAATCATTTGTTTAGTAGTTCGCCATTAGCGCAATGACACTAATATATCAATACACAATAGCTAGCACTTTTTATAACGCATTTTTACTTTCGAGCATTTCGAAATGTTTTCCACGGTATATTTTAGCATTGAACTAGACATATTTCCTCATTATTTTTAAACTTGAGCGTAATATCACACGAATATATGTACAATTGAGTGTTTTGTTTGTTATTTGACATTTTATTCGGCTGTACATCTTTTAAGTTACGCAAAGTTAAATGAAATAGCATGATATTTTGCTAATGTGGCCTCATAAGAGTGCTGATGAGTACTGTTTGTTTTTCGAAGTTTTTATACCAAAATAATTATTCGACAAGTCAATTCTAATCTGTAGTCCATTGTTGCACTACAATGCTGTCTTTCTGACAGATTGTATTTCCCAACAACCAAGTCAATATCCACATTAAAAATACGCAGTTATCTTCATTATTATTCTCCCTCTAACTGTTTAATTTGAATAAATATATAATTTCATAACTAAACTCTTTGTGTTATTTTAAACAAAATCAATTTTTTGTGTTCGTTTCAGTGGGAGGCCATATTACAACCTCATTTTCTCGCCAACCCATTATACTATGTTGCCACACTTTTATAAATAACATCCTAAGCAATAAACATTATGTAAATTTGAATCTATAATCGATTAAACAACACTGTGACATATGTAACCATTCAATTCTCACTTTAAAATATTGATTATTGACCAAGTTATTGTATAAAATGTGAGTGATGGGTCATAATATCATTTTCTGCTGTATTATAAAAAGTTGCTTAGAATTTCACCTTCTATAACAGGGGTTCCCAACCGAGAATGCTCGCATCCCCTGGAGGTGCGAAAAAAAATTCTTGGAGGTACGAGGAAAAGTGATTGTAATTAATAATGATTAAGATGAATTCTGAAACAATTCGGCATTTCTATTATTATATAAAAAGAAATGTTATTAAAATTATATATTTTTTACATATCTGTATTTTTTACATATCATTACGTATATATTCATTACGCATCACTATAAGAAGCTTAATATCATGGGTAATAATTTTATAATATTAAAATGATAGTTAATTTTTATAAAAGAATACTATATGATCAAAAATTATTATAAATTAACTCCTTGCCTTAAAACCCTAATAATTAATTTTTACCATAAAACAGATGAATAATTTTTTTTGTAGAGAGTGCGAAGGTTCATTAATAACTTTTTAAGGATGCGGAATACAAAAAAGATTGGGAAACCCTGTTCTATAACATATTCCAAAATCGGTGAGGCGTTACCTTTGTGCGTATTTTCCCGTCCTAATATTTAGTTTCGCAAATCGATTTCATTGGTTCTCTGTTAATCGTAAAAACAATTTTTCAAACGCTATTCATCGTACTTTATCCTCAACTTGATTATTTGTTTTTTAATTGTGACAATTTTACAGTGCTCATCACTGGTGGCTGTTACAACGTATTAAAAAATCGCGAATCAATGTTTGACACATAAGTAATAAATAGCATACAATATTTGGAACACACGAAGTACTACTACGTCTCTTGATTGCGTGAGAGCGCGTATGAAATTGTTATTATTTTTACCTAAACATAATTGGGTCAGAATAAAAAAATACGACTCGATTTTTCAGAATAATTTCAATTTCAATAAAAACAAATTATTCGGCAATCAAGTAATTGCCATCGTCGTTTATGATTCTTCGCTGATATTCTTGGCATTATTGTGTCATTTCTATCGCACAGAATTTTGTGATATTCTGCTGTCTATATTGGCTCGTGTGTAATATTTGAAATGTGTGCACTTGATTATTAATTACGGTCTGATATTAATTAGCATAACCGTTGCGGGTAATAATTGTCTCGCAGTTTAAAGGAATATTCCTCGGGGTACGTAAGGAAACAAAAACAAAAAGAAAAAGCAAAAGACTTCGTTTCTTTAGCCATTAGCCTAATTGGATCACAAAGCACGAAGGTTGAATTATGAAATTTGTTTGTCCAGGCCACGCTCACGTGACGGACTTCAACATCGCGACCGTGCTCGAAAACGGTCAACTGGCGACTTCGATGTCCGGGACAAAACCGTATATAGGTACATGTGAACAATGTTATTATGCGACTGTGAGAGATCCGCGTCGTGTGCGTCTTCTACATGAATTCACTCATCTCAATTCCCTCGTAAATCTTTCTTCGTTTTTCTTTTGAGTTTGTAATTTTAGCACAGACGCACACAATTGTAATTTCTGTTAACTCCGTTACACTGCGCCATCGTCTCTAAAACCAATTTCTCTCAGCTTCGAGTCTCGAGTCTCCGTAATAATTCTACCAACCGAATTGGGAAAGATAAATATTGAATGAAATCTTCTCCTCCCACGTATTTAGATTCGGATTCCTCTTTTTCTCGTGAAATGCGAGGGGTTTGGCTCCCCGTACATATAAAATATCAGGCGATTGGTAGCGGGAAAGGACGACGGTTGTAAGGCAACCGAAACACGTCGCCATCTATATCGAGCCACGGATTTCAAATCTGTCTCTTATATCTCTGCATTAAGCCGAGGCTGTCTTCGCGAATAATATCCCCCTAGCACACTTTTCTCTCGCACATCTTTCTCCTTTAACGTGGATTTGCGCTAGCCCCGGAGATTTACATGTGCTCGTGCGAGGAATACGGTGTCCTTGGCTACGGATTCGCCGTGGATTGGTGGAGTCTGGGAATCCTCGCTTGGGAGACCTTAGCCATGGAGAGACCATATCCGCTTCACTCCACGACGTCCAATAGAGAGTCTTTGAGGATTCTACAGGTGAGGATCGTGTATGACATACATACACACACACACACACACACACACACACACACACGCGCGCGCGCGCGCGCGCGCACGCACGCACGCACACACATGTACACATACAAAAGCTCGATACGATCGAAAATCGCTTAAAGCATAAAGCAGAAAGCGGGCAAGTATGAAATACCCATTGTATATTCCGTCCTAACTTGGAAATAGTCCATCTTCGACAGCTATTGCGGGTAGTTTCAACATATATATGTGCAAAATCGAAGTTACACGACACCGCGGCTCTCCGTCGAGACAGCCACTTCTGTGTAACACGTACGTGCTGTCCTGTTAATTAAGGACGCGTCATGTCCCGACTGTCCCGTTAATCGAGAACTTGTCATGAAGGTGTTATTGATGCGACACGTGCGACGGCATATCTGCCAGCTTCGCGCGTTTTACCGCATTTGCATAACGTAAACGTCTTAGTCGTGCTGAAGGAGGTTGAATTAAGTCTGGTCTTATTTTGTCAATTTTTTTATCTTTATTTTAAAGAAATGGTTACATTTACATCAATCACAATATTTTCTGTCGTTAGCTGTGACTTTTTCCCATCTTTTTGGCAAATGGCGACTTCGCGACGGTAGAACGATCTGTCTTACGAAAGCATTCCAATCAGACACTCATTTTTGCACAGCCTTGTAATTATTGAAGTATATACCTGCCAAAGTATGTTGTATCGATCGGAATAGATGGTAATCAGATGGTATTAGGTCTGGAGAGTATGCTGGATGCGGAAGGATTTCCCATTCGAGCTCTAACAATGTTTGTTTAACGATTAAAACAACGGACGAGCTTTATCGTGCAAAAGAATTACTTTGCATCTATTGCTGGCTATCGCTGGCTTTTTTTGCGTCAATTCATCATTCAATTTGTTCAATTGTTGCTGGTATCGCTCCTCCGTAATTGTTTCATTCGGTTTTAGAAGCTCATAGTACACCACACCTTCCATATCCCACCAAATACAGTGCATTGCTTTGCGACCGTAAATGTTCCGTTTTGGTGTCGATGTTGATGGTTGTCCTGGATCAACCCTTGATTTTTTTCACTTTGAATTATCAAAATAAATCCACTTTTCATCTCCAGTTACAATTCGCCACACAAAACCTTTTTTCTGTCTGGCAAGCAAAGACATGGCGATATTCAAACGATTTGCAATAGCACTTTCACTTAATTCATGTGGCACTTATCCGCCTTTCTTTTGAGTTTTTCCCATGGCGTGCAGGTGTTTAGAAATTGTTGATTTATCGACGTTGAGTTGTTCAGACAATTGTTTTTCCGTTTGAACGATTTTCATTCAATAATGCGTGCAATTCAGATTCTTCGAATTTTTTTGGTTGACCAGTATTTTTGAATCGTCAAAACCAAAATTTACAGTTGGAATACGATGGAGCTTGATCACCATAAGTTGTAATAAGCATTTCATGAGCTTCAGTTGCCGATTTTTTCAAATCAAATAAAAAAATAACGAATGTTGAAAATGCAATTTTGTACAATTCAATTTAGGCGCATATAAACAATGAAACTATTAGTAACAATAACGCGCAAACTGTCATATGTCATAGAGAAACATATTTTTCAGTGTTGCAAAATTTCAATATTCGTACTAACCATTAACTTGTTACTAAAGGCATCTATTGCTAGGGACCAGAACTAAGTCAACCTCCTAATAACATTAATAAATTTCAACTCGAAATCACGTTTCGGCAAGAAGCCCGCGAATGTACGACGAAAGTGAAAAAGAAATAACGACTTCGACGAGTTCGATGCGGGACATTTCAATGGAATCACGTCCATGTCCTCAGAAAACGATCTAAATCGGACGTCCCTCATTTCGAGACAAATTGAGCTCGCGTGTCCTTCGGCTTTGACAAATTATCTTTCGAAGGTTCAGCGTATAGCGCGACTTTGAGAGACGGTGAAGATCGCTTTATATCCAAAGATTCGGTCCTTTTCAGGAAGAGAGACCGAAACCTACTCACTGGAGCTCGTCGATACGCGATCTTCTGGACCGCCTACTGACTCTGGCGCCGGGCGCGCGAGTGTCGTCCTTGAAGGAGCTGAAGCGGGCGAACGTGATGAAAGAGTTAGACTTTGACAAGGTGTTAAACAAGCAGATTAAACCGCGATTTATCCCGCCGAAGGATCACTTGAACTGCGACCCGACTTTCGAACTGGAGGAGATGATAATCGAGACGAAACCTCTGCACAAGAAGAAAAAACGCCTGGCTAAACAAAGGTCGGTCATAGCTTCTGTTGAATTTCACGTGGCAGATCCCGTAGCGAAAATGCAGTTTGTTCAACAAGACAGTGTTGGTGATAATCTGAAAAGAATAAAAGATAAAGTCAAGTCATTATTTTAAACAAAGATAGAAGATTTTTAATAATGCGCAACTATCTAATATTTGATCCAGTTGCTTCCATTATCAATTATTGCTTGCAATTATTGGCACCATTTTTGCATATTTTCGGCGTATTCTGATAAAAACGCTATATTGTTTTTATTTTTATGCACAGCTGCTTAAAAGTAAAGACACGCTTTCCTTTAAGTTTCATCTTAAGGTATGACCACATATTTTCGATGGGATTTGCGTCTGGAGAGAATGCCGGACAATCCATCACAGTTACGCCATTTTCGAGCTTTTCTGACAGCAGCGGTTTTTTCATGGCGGACCGAAATGTGGTGATACCATGTCATTTTCATGCAAGCGGCTTCTGATGATATTAAGCGAGATAACATATTATGTTGACCTTTTCGGCGGAGTTTTACTTGGGCCTAACGCAGGGTAAGACTAGAATTCGTCTGAAAGAGACACAACATAGCTTCGGAGTCGTTGCATAAGACAGCCCTCTTTCTGGCAGGTCGTCAACATTTCCAGCGGTTTTAAATCTATTTACTCACTTTCTTACGAAAGCCTCTGATTTTGTAATTGCCCTAGCAGTTGCTGCGATTGTTAATTTTGGTCCTTTAGAATGGTTAATAAGAAACACCGCCTCTTAACGCTTCAAATATTTTACACTCATTTTAAAAATAATGTTTACTTTTAACGACTACTCAACGCAACTTTTTGATGTACATTGCGCAAAAGAAGTTAATTTCAAGATTCAAACGGTATAAAGTAGATGATGCTACTATATATGATTTTCTACAAAAATATCACCCACACTTTCTTGTTGAACAGACTGTATTTCATCGACGCGGTCTCGTTTGCAGGTCATTGAGGGCCGAACACTCGGGGGAAGACGCCGCCTTGTTCGTCGAGGGCGCCGGACCGAGCGTGGAAACGCGTCGATTAGCTTTCATCCCGGAGTATCGAGTATACAATCGCGAGCGCGAAATCGAGAGACAGGAAAGAGAACGGAAGGAGAAACAATGGGAGGAGGAACTGAACACTGCCATGAAGGGTGCCGAAGAAAGACTCAAGTATGTATACACGCATGCGTTAATTCGCGCCGCGAGAGAAGAAGCATTGTTATGTAAGAAATGCGAAATGTAAACAAACACCAAAGCATGACTCATGCGCCGATCTGTCAAGAAAAATTTCTTTACAATATTCTGGAAACATGTCGGCCTTAGAGACATCTATATCTAATGTTTGGGCTCAAAGCTTCTTCTAACAATTTCGCGCTAGACCTGGCAGACTTCGGACAACTGGCGGAGAATGACGGTCGGAGTGGGGAACAACACATCTCTCGCAATGCGAATTAATGCGCGTGATTGTACACTCGAACGAAAATCCATGAAAATATCATTAACGACAAATTACTTCATCGATAAAAGCATGTTCGAAAGAAAATGCATGGAAATATTGTTGTTAACACACTAATATATCAATCAGCAAAAATAACAAATACACACACACGTACGCACAATGGGAACAAAATATAAGATAATATTGGATCAGACAAAATCCAATTTGTTTACAAATTTCAAATTTATTTACATTGTATTTTTTATTAATAAATTGTTAATAAAAATTGTTAATAAAATTTGTTAATAAAATTTATTAATAAAAAAAATTATTCGTCAATCGTCGACATCGATAATCGATTTATAATTTCGCGCCAATATTTTGACGACAATATATTGTTAATATTGGGTGAGTTTTTTTAATTCAAGATAAATTCGTTGCCTTTTCATCGGATAAATGACAATATGACGTCTCAGACACGTGTTTGATGGCATATTTTTAAGAACAGTTTGATGAATGGATTCAATTAAAGTTAATAATAAGTATGTATCAACAATTTAATATTGATATGTACATATTTATATGTACATATAATTCTGAAACCCAGATTTTGAAACTCAAAATTATACAAAATTAGTATTAGAAATTACAAACATTTTACTTGTTATATACATATTATTTTTACATAATATATATTTTTTTGCATTTATAATCAGAGGTCACTTTCTTAGCACATGTCTCGACTAATTCTAGATAATCGAAAATATATTTTAAAGTTTACATCTGAATAGAATGGCACTATTTTTTATGTAAAGTTATCAATTTTTACACGCGTACATTTGATAAATATTATGTTTATATCACTGACTGTTGTTAGTTTCTGAAAAAAAAATATCAAGAGTGGAATTAGGAGAAAATTCATCTTTATACATTTTTTTAATTAAATTATAATTTAGTAGTGTTTCCATGTCAATAATTGAACGCATTAATATTTTAGGTTAGAAAATTATTCTCATCATATTCAATCAGAAATCTCATCGGTCCATTGACAAAATAAGTCTGATAAATATGTAATGAGTTCAGCGCTGTAAATAAAAACACATTATATGTAATTCATCGATGAATAAAGGAACTTGCATTTGCGCTTTAATTGAACGAAAATTCAATTGATGAATTAAAAAACTCACCTATTACTGTCCGTTATATATGCGCGACATCGTCTACAAAAAGTCGAACCGGACTTGGACTGACCCAATACATAATGCTCCATATACATACATCTACCGCGATGCTTTTCATTTAGAAGTACATAACTCTTCATCACGCTCGTAAGCATCACGCTAATAAGCCTGCGGAGATCTTTCAATGTTTCCTCACTTTGACTTCTCGCAAGATTCCCCGAGGTTGTCCTCGACTTTCCCGCTATCCTTTCTTAGTCTTCACGGCCTTCCGCACTTGTGACGATCTTGAATTCCCGGCTCGAGAGAGAGAGAGAGAGAGAGAGAGAGAGAGAGTGCGGTGTGTACATTAATCTTCCATGGAAAAGCGTCGTCTTTCCGAGCGTTCGCTCGATACCGTGTCAATCCGTTGATTACAGAACAAAGCAGCAGCATCTGCCGGCCCAGCGAACCGGAAACCGACTGAGCGTCTTGACGACGAGCGTCAAAGCACGCATAAGCGTGTCACCGAGGCAAGGTCGCCGCGCGAGCGCCACGACGTCCTCGGACATCGACTTCATCGACGCGAGTCCGGAGCCTAGCACTTCTTAAATCGGGCGCGACCGTATCTCGCTGGTGACGAGCGAGGCTGCTTTCACCTCGCGAACGCGCCCTGAACTCCAGCCGATTCCGACGACGTTCATCCACTTCACTGACTCGGTAAAAGTGTGTCTCTGATATCTCACAATTACCCCACTTGGTTCTTTCCTTAAGACTATGACTCGAGCAAACGGATCCTCGTTCTCTTTGACGAAACTCGAGGCTTCGTCTCTTCCGAAGGAGACGAACGGAAAATTTTCCGGCTGTCCATTTCACTCGAACCGTCTCGAGACGCGAGAAAGCAAAACGCTATGAAGCTTTTATATTCTCCCTCTCGTGGGAAAAATGCCGAATTTTTTTCTCTTTCTACGTGTATCGATCTGGCGTATCGACCTGGCGATTTAAGGTGATTTACAGTTTTGACGATAACTTTTTCATCGGACTCTCCGTGTCAACAGACCGCGACGTGTTTGCTTTGAAATGAGGCTCTCAGCATTCTAATAGACATCCGAATACTCACTGTTCGATATTCGACTTGATCATTCTGATGAGCTTTCATCCTTCTCGCTATGCACTTCCACGGCTGCGCAAGCCATTTCTCTTGTCACCGTAACTCTATTTATTCGTGACGAGCCTGAAACGTATAGTTCGGATCAATGCGGTTTTATGGCAAGCGGTTCATCGAGCTCACTAGTCATCGATATTAGTGCTGGCTAATTTTGCAGCTTCTACGGAAGCCTGAAAACGTGGATGGAAATTGGAAGTAACTTCGCGTCGCCCAAGACCTTTCGGGTCCCAGCGGTGCGCGCTTGATCAATGTACCAGGAAAAATGTGCATTTAAAGATGTATATTAAAAGGATCATCAACCGGATTTTGTCTCATAAACTTTGATTAAGGGCAGCGACGGGACTTTATTATTCTTAAAAGAATGAGAACGGCGAACAATCGAGACATCCACTTCAATGTCGAATTTATTCGAACGGTGGGGTTTACTTTAACGGACTTTTCGTTGTTCCGGCTTAGAGGAAGACCGATCACGAACTAGGAAAACTAGACGCATCTTCGCGATGAAGTAGTTTAAGTAAATCGTTTCAGTACAAAAATCCGATACACATCGTACGTCGTTGGTACTGAAATTTCCTTTAGAGAAGGAAAACAATATTTTCACTTCGCTTTCGCTGAACACTTAGAGTTTACGTTATTAATTAGAAATAAGAACAACGTTCTTTTTAACGGTGTTAAATGGAAGCACAACGATAGTCACCTAAAGAGACGCGTGTGTGAGAAGAAAGAATAAGGAGAAGAGGTTGTAAATTTTGGAAGACCTGAGAGAGAAAAATTTAACACTAAGTTTTAAAAGATTCGAGTGCTAAGCGAGTTAAAATAAGCGAGAAGCAAATTAACGCTTCTATATTTAATGCGATACGAGAGATTTAAGACGCACATCAAGGAGGAACATACACCTAGAGGTACGAAAAATAGCTCTATTTTTACCCTTTTAATCGAACCCTTTCTTCGAACAGTAAGGAGTATCAAAGCGGGATTTTGCATGTATATTATTTATATTTTTATTGAAAAAAATGTCCAAGGCATATCCCAAAATATCATATAATATAGCAGTTACAGACATTAATGTCGAACATTGCCGCTATCATCCCCATTTCACTGTACATCCTATATAGTCCTGTACATCCTGTACATCCATCTAAAACAAACATGGATAAACAATTCTTAAAATATATATTAAAATCTAGTCTTTGCCGTGGCCGACTTTTAAAATTTGTCGCAAAGTTCTGCTTATTTGAATTTAAAAATGCGATTTTTCGCCAAAAAATCGACTTTCGTCTGGCTGTCAAGATGGAACGAAAGTTTATGGAAAAAAAGCCATACGACGAAAATCGCATAATTTTATGCTGTATAAATAAGAAACAAAACAAAGGGTGAACCCGATCCAAGTCGTTTAAGAGATATTTCGGGTTTTGGTTTTGAAAAACTACTTTTGAGAAAAACGCGTTTAAAGTTTTAAGTGTAGTTTCAAGCAGTATAACAATGATTTCTTTTTTACTTATATGGAATCATCTATTCCATATAGTGAATCACCTGCAGACGTAGCAATTTCTGCCATTTCATTTCTAGCTTGTCTGCGACGCATTCTTGCCTCCTTGATCCTGTCTCCCATGTCGCGCTTCATTTCCGCTATCCGGTACTCGTCCTCGCATTCGCATAATTATGCGCATTTGGTTGAGCATAGATGTTCATTGCTCACATAATCTGTAATAATGATGATGTACTTTCGTTGTACACACATATACGGCAAGTTCTAACAAATACTGTTTTTGTGCCACTGTACAATTTCTTATATCCTGTTAGCCTATTCAAGCTTTCGTTATTATTTTGCGTAAAGTCACTTATGCAACGCTCCGATAATTGTTTATCGCTGAGATTTTTATAAATAGATCAAATAGCTCCTAACATGTTTCCTGGCAAAGTCTGGTCATCATGCGTGTAATTCGGAGTCTCGCGAGCAATTTTGATGTTGTTGCACCATAACGATAACAGGTAGTCCAAATTGCCTGTTGCATTAATTCAACAGATTTGCAATTTCTCCAGATACCTAGGCCATAGTACACACTCAATTTGTCGATGATTTTTGCAGTTAATTTATCCTCACTTTAAGATTCTTGTTCTTTCGTTTGCGTTCTCGGAGACGACAATAGAGAGACGCTAGAGTTCCGGTGTTTAGTTAGAATAGATGCGCAATGGTTCGGAAGGTAATGATAGAAAATGGTATAGGGGTCTCTAGAAAGTTAGGAAAGCGTTACGTATAAATATAGATCCATATTCTGAACTCTCTCTTTCATCACTAAAAGTGACTTTAAAAGTGGCTTATAGCAAATCAAGAAACTTAAGGAAAGCCACTTTTGCAGTAATTTTTAATGATAAAAAAGAGTTCAGAATATGAGCCATGGTATATCTAGACTGCGTGTTCGAGAAGTAGGAGTAGAGCTCACGTAGAAAAAAATGCACTCTGTTTTTGAATGAGACCCGATTGACCATGTTACGATTGGGCACAACCAATAATATTACTCAAATTTAATCCTAACCTAATTAACTAGTTTGTACACAGTATGATTGGTTGTATCCAATCATACTGTGTCGAATTGGATGTTCCCCTATTTTGACTGTGCGTTTTCTTTCGCACACTCTCGATGGAAGGGGAATAGGGAAGGCAGTTGCTAATCTGTACGATAGTACAGCCGCTGTACTACCATACAGGGCTCTATTTTCGAAAAGAGCAACCGCAAAAGCACCTGTTTTTTCGCCCGTTTGGTGAACCTCACGGATTGAATCGAATTGTGGTCTAAATGATAGCTTATGATGATATATTAATCTGGGAAAAATTTCAAGTTGAGTATAGGAATGGTTTCGGAGATATCAAGAGTTAAAGGCCGCCATAAGGGTCACCCGCAAACGCGAAACAGCCGAGCCACCAGACGTTCGCGCTATTGCCGAGGTGCAGCGTCGCTCGGCAAAAGGTCGCTATCGAGAAATCTTTACTTATCAAAGTTTACATGAAGTCTCGGTTTCGTAGCGGAAAATGTCATCACATTTTTGTTTTAGTGGATAAAGCAAAAATTGGTAGAGACTCGATTCGTGAGTATTACTCGGCCCCAAAACGAGGCAAATTACGAGACCCCAAAAACCTCCAGATAGCAGATTAAATTGGTTTGAATCAACCATCTTTTTACAATTTCGGTCCGCCATATTGGGTCCGCCAACTTGAATTTTGTAATTTTATCTCCAGATTCGTAATCAGCGATCCTAAAAACCTCTTATTGACTAATTCAAGTTGTTCAAGTCCAAATGGAAAACAAGTTTAACGGAAATCACATGTAATATGTACAAAGGGTTGAAATAGTGCTTTCATGTTCAGGGATCAAGGGGTGATTTCCAGCCTTAAAATGCGTTGTCAGCCGATATAAAAAAATACATGTTCAATATTTTTCAATGTCCTACGTGCATGCCAAATTTCATTGGAATCGGTGAGTGACAGTTGGGTAGTATTACTTGTTAGAAATAACATCTTCCATATAACTTTTCAATCGTGGTATTTTCCTTGAGCGTGCTGTCTCTAACTTATAAAGTGCATCCAACTCTTCTTCACTATCTGATGACAATGATGACAATGATGATGATTCTATATTTACCCGCAAAAAAATAGGCCACTAAATTTTAGTTTTGTAACATCTTTCAATCACAATAACTCAGCCAAAAATCATCGTATTGAGATGAAATAAAGCTTAAATTAAAGTTTGGACATTTCTTGTTATCAACCAAAAACCTAAAAGTTTATATAAATATTATAAAAATTGTTTTACAAAATGGCGAATGTTGAATGATGATAGATTTTGAAGGTCGTAGAAAAATGAAATAGATTTGTTAGGAAATAAATAAACTTTAAACCTCATACATTTTTAAACTTTAAACCTCATATATTTTTGTACCAGAGAACCGATCCCCCTGAGCAATGCAATAGTTAAAACAAAATTCTTTTCCCATTAATCGGTCTATCTTCAACATCTGCCATTTTGTAAAACATTTATTATAATTCACTTTTAAGTTTTTGGTTGTTGACAAAAAATGTCCAAACTTTAATTTGAGCTTTCATCTCAATACGATGATTTTTGGCTGAGTTATCGCTATTGAAAGATGTTACACAACTGTGCTAAAATTTAGTGGCCTGTTTTTTTTTTTACGAGTGAGTATATTAGATCCCTTATTACGAACGCGAGAAGATTGATTGCTCGTCTTCGATTCATATTGCCTCGTTTATATTAAGAGCGGCCATATTGGAAACTTTTATTCTAAACTACGTTCGGAGAGCTTGTTATTGCTATCGAGCTATTGGCATCCCGAACGGAGCTTTTAGCGTTTGCGTTTATAGCATTCACAGCGTCTCCTCGAATGCAGCCTATGCCTATGGCGTTGCGTGTCACGTAACAGCGCGCGTTTCATGGCGCTCGCCCGGCCGGCCGCAACTTTTGTACTTTTTGGAATTCCGACTTGCCGCTCCAGGAAACCATTCGAAAGACATCACACTAAAAGAAAATATAAAAATAAAAAAAATCGATTTTTCGATCCATCTAGGTGTATGTCTCCCTTTAACGACGTAACTTCTTTGTCGAGGCGATTGGGAACAATGACCTACACGATGTAGATGTCTTATTCGATAAATATATATGTACATACTATATATGTTGTTTAGAAAAGTGCGCTGTGTACGAATTGAGAATAAAAATATCTTTGACATGTTAGCATGCTGCAACATACCATATATCCCGTTAAGTAAGTAAAATTTTATTTTCATTAAATCTCGATAAAATTCTCAGATAAGGTCGCCAGACGTTCAGATTTTGCTGTCAGTATCCTCCTGTCCAGCTAATGTTCAGAATGTCCAGATTTTATTAAACATTCCTCTTATCCGTTGATATATCCTTCAAAAATATATCTTGACAACCTACGTTTCCAGTTTTCTTCTTTTCTTTTAGAAATCTGTCTAGGCTTTTTAATTTTCATACCTGGCGATATCATTCTTGAGCGAATCCCGCTAGCCGCAAAACCACGATTCACTACACGCGACCTTGTCCTCAGGTAAGCTTTCCGGTAAGTGGAGCAAAAGTTCTAGCGAAATGACGTCGTCCGAAGGATCAAACAACAGGCAGTCTTTCAAGAATGGCGCCGTCGTCGTTCAGCAGTTACAATTTGAACGCGGTAAGAATTGCAAATGCGGATTCGACTGTGTTAACCAAGCGTGCTCGTCGAAGGGGTGCTGGATAATCGATAGCATTGACATTTCACGAGGGTGAAAAGAGGGTGAAAGAGGTCACCGTGACACTCTAGCGTCTGGCAC